TCCTAGCAATAGTCTTAAACCAGACTTGATGCTTAAAATATAACATTTGACTTACAGTGATTCATTAACAAAGTCATTTAAAATACACACCTTTAAAAATCATTCCCAATTAGACGCCATGGGACACTTGCGCACAAGTGACAGTTCCTAGACATCCTCTATCCTAGCCTCACAGGAGTCTATCAGGGGTTTTATATGATCAGAGACATATTATTATTATACAGGATTTATATAGCGCCAACAGTTTGCTCAGCGCTTTACAATATATCAGGAGACAATACAGTTCAATACAAGAGGGATAGGAGGGCCCTGCTCCTTGGAGCTTACAATCTAGGCGTTTCCTGCCCCTGATCTCTAGATTACAGTAAGGGAATTTTACTAAGACTGGATAGGACAGAATCTGGAGCAAGGCAACCAATCGGCTTCTATATGTCATTAGTGTAAATGGGCTGAGTGGCTGCTGCTATTCGCATGCCCTGGTCCATCCAGCCGCAAGTATGCTCTGATTCTTGGTGCTGGAATTAGAGGCTGCATCTAAACGGCTGTGTGAAGGAGGCCTATAGATTGACTAAGTAGACATTGTTTTAACAATTCTTTCTAAATCTAGCACATTATTTTAAATGGAATTAGTCAGAATTGAAATATAACTGCCATGGCTGACTTGGCTTTTAAAGTGATCTTGTACTGAAAAGGGTATGTGGGCTCTCTCACTGACCTCCCACTGGTTCAAAAGTTTAAAGTGTATCTAAAGCCAAAACGTTTTTTTTTTTTTTTTTTTAAGAATTAGATAAAGCAGTGGAGGGAGGGGAGTTAGAGCCCCTGTCAGTTTGATTATTTACCGACCAGGGAGATTCACTTTCAACTTATCCTGGTGGCATAGGAGGAAAAATTCTAATTAAGCAGATGTTTACCCCACTGTGGGAATTTTCTCTTGCATTCTGTTGTTCTACATAGCAGGAAATGAAGGGAAATCTCTCACATGAAAAAACTATTCAGATTTGAACATTTAGGCTTGTTTCACACGATAGAAGTGTGAACATGAAGCTTTGAAAAAATGTTTAGCGCTTTCAGGAAGCTTTGAGCCACCATTCACACTGGTGCGACTTGTCATGCGACTTAACAGATCAAATTCACATGACAAGTAACAGCCTATTTGCCACTATGAAACAGTTCAAATTGGTACCTGCATTATTTTCGTGCGATTTCATGTGCAACCTGCATTGACATCTGTGTATGAAGTTGCACAGATGTTTGCAAGCCACACATGAAGTAGCACTGATCAGTGGCTTTGGGATCGCACTGAAGTAGAGCAACTTCAAAGCCGTACCCGGTGTGAACCAGGGCTTAAATTACCATCCAGCTCCAGTTTGTAAAATGTTGAACACAGATGCTAATGTGAGTGTTGACTGCAACTTTAAGCAGTCAACACTCACATTAGCAAGCTTCTGCAAGTTCTGAAGCCTGCTAGCAGCCTGTTTAAAGTGGCAATCAACACTCACATTAGAATCTGTGTTCAACATTTTCAAACTGGAGTTGAATAGTACTATAAAAGCTTCAACAAAGCTTGCTGAAAGCTCTGCAAATGCTTTGTCAAAGATTGCTGTTCACACTGCTCTTAGACAAGGTGAAGCCTGTGTGAAACTGGCCATAGTGTGGTGACCGGTGTTTTTGCACACAGGAAAAATGATAGTCACTGCTAGGATGCACAAAAAACAGTTGTTTACCATGTGTCCTATTCACACTGAAATGAAACCCAGAGCTGCATTGCAGTGATCTGTGATAAATGCAGACATGCTGTATTTTATTGCAGCGCACTGGACAGCACTGAATATCACTGTACAGCAGCACAATGCACCGTGCTGTTGTACAGTGACATAAAGGGGGTTATTTACTAAAACTGGAAAGTGCAAAATCTTGTTCAGCTCTGCACAGAACCAATCAGCTTCCAGATTTTATTGTCAAAGCTTAATTGAACAAGATGAAATTAGAAGCTGAATGGCTACCATGCACAGCTACACCATATTCTGAGTGCACCAGTTTTGGTAAATCTACCCCAAAGTGTTACTTATGTGCACTTCAGATAAAGTTCATTTGAAAAAAGAAAAAACTGTATTATGCACTTAACTGGGCACTACACTGCCCCTACTGCCAGCTCTCTGCAGTTTAAATGGATAGCTGCCAGACAGTAACCTACTGCGATATATTGTGAGGCAGCTGTCTATGTGTGAATGGGCGCTTAACTTTACTTTATCCAGAAAAGAAAGAAAAGTTTTGGCTTTTGATATACTTTAGGATACAGGCCTAGAGCAGGTAAACAGATCAGGAATTCTGGTTTCACTCCTTGAATGCTTGTCCCAAGTCAGTGATTCAAAAAATAATGAAGTCACTGGTTTAGCATGCTTTCCGGCAACTAACACTTTATGGAAAAGATTAGCAAACTAAACCCCTATATTTCTTTACAGGCTGCACTCCTTTCCCTTGATTCACTTCTTGGCGGTTACTGACCCAGAACAAGAATTCTTAAAAGAGCAGAATGTACCAACTGCATACTTATTTTGGGTCATTAACTCAGAAAGTAGTGACACATCTTTGGAGTTGCACTAGGGTGACAACAGCAGTTCTCATGTTTAATCCTGAAAGATTCCTTTTAGCCTGGGTTCACACTTCTGCGGTACGGCATATTGCATGTGATTTGAACAGGAACTGCACCACATTCCTGTGCAAATCACATGCGATTTCTGTGCAGGGCAATTTGAGCCATACATTTTGTATGGCTCAGATTACACAGCATCCACAGCAAAATTGTGCAGGACTCTTTTTTTTTTTTGTCCGCACTAGAATCGGATTGCATGGGTATTGACACCCATGCGATCCAATTCTGCACATCGCACCACGATTTGCAAACAGATTTTTGGGTGTTGTTAGCTTAACATATACACCTGCAGCAGTTCGCATGAAAGGGGAGAGATTATGATGCAGTGTGAAATTTGCACAGAAACCAGTGCGAATACCGCACCGCATCAGTGTGAACCCAGGCTTAAAGTGTTACTAAACCCAGGACCCTGCATTCACTATATCTGGTCTCCCACAGTACACAGAACATAGAAGTGCAATTATTTTAATAAATATAAACCCTTTCTCATCAGCAGTTAGAGCATTCTTGTGACTTCAGCAGAGCACTGGTTAAAGCTTGTAGGAGTTTTCTTTCTGCTCTAGGAGGATGCAAAACCCCTGACCTCTGTCTGGACAGTGCTGACTGGCCTTGTGCTGATCACATGCACGCTCTCAATAAAAAAAAAAAACCTCTCTAGCAATGCACACTAAACTGAGCATGTGCAGAAGGGCTACGGGTTCAGTCTGTCTTATCAGAGTTGACATTTGAACAAGAGGACGGTCAGAAAAGTCAGGATTAAACAGCCTTTTTACACATTGCAGAGGATAAACCCCTTAGTTTCCACAGTGAATATAACAAGCATGCTTTACTGCAGATACAGACTGATTTCACTGTTGTGGGTTTAGTAACACTTTAAAGATAAGCGAGTTAGGGCTCAGGCAGATAGGCACATTTTCTAGTACAGTGTTGGCGTATTTTGGTGTCTGGGAGCTTCTGGTGCTGCATACAGCCACTTATAGATCTGAATAGTTGCAGATGTCTGTATGTAGCTATGTGTGGCTACTTGTGAAAATCAGTGCATGCACACAGATTTAAGGATCTGCATTTGGAACCTTAAACGTCTGTGCACGTGCTGCTTTATGCAAATAACAGCACATATCTGCGTACAGCCACCTGCAACTATTCATGTCTATGTGTGGCTGCACACAGGAGCTCCCAGGCACCAAAAAATGCCAGCAACTGCTGACATCCCCACAGAAAAAGGCAATAAACATTGAAAAAAACAATAGCATCAACCAGATTCCTTCATTTCTAAAATATAGAAACCTGACTGGACGGTGTTTTTTAAGGAGTCCCACAGCAGTCAAGAGTTGCAAACCTGAGCATAGGTGGAACCTAGGAAACCCCAATGGTGCTCTCTATACAGCACAGCAGGCACATTGTATACTACAAAACTGACTGACCTTCAAGATCCAAGACTTTACAATATAGTTCAACATATTCTTGCTTTTTTTCACACATTCTATTTCGGTGAAAGCAAATGCCAAGTTTAAGAAGACAAAAAGTTATTGAGATCATAACGACAGTACAAATATTCTGTTAAAGTGGCAAAAATCACAAATTAGCAAATTTAATTTAAAATGTTCTTTTTTAATAATTTGTTTTCATGTTCACATAAGTTTCACTGACCATTTATGCTCTAGGTCCAGATGCAATGCATATTGTAAAAAAGAGAGCACTTATTTACCTTGCATGAATTAACCTATGTACCTTTAACTCTACAAACCTCTGTATTACATTTAGACAAAGCTCAGACACACAGCATGCCTAGCCCTCATATGTACACATCTCTAATCACAGGTATATAAGGTGTCAATAGTCTAAACAACCTCCATGTAAGGTTTGAAATTTGGTAACAAAATGAGAAAACTAAAAATATTTACGTGTTCTAAAATATCTCTTTGTGCTAAAGTCAAATGTTAGCTCACATGAAAAGGACCTTTTTTTAATATAATTCAGTATTTTAATTTTATAATCTGACCATTGCAAACACTTAATAATAATAGCAGGTGTACAAAAGTTCTTGGTTAATTAGGGAAATAAACACTCAATCCTTTATATTTTAATCAAGTAGGAAACACAGTTCAATATATAATGTTATTACTTTTTTTTTGTTTTTGTTTTAGCAGCTGCTTACTGTTTATATGGTGGATAAGTGGACAACATCCAGCGATGGGAGTGACAAGTCAAAAAATCTGTCAGTTTGTGGAGGTTTTGTGGGTGGTGCTCCCTTGGAGTTAACAGTTATATATTTATTTTAATTTTTACTTTTTTTCCATTACAGTTTATTTTTTGTTTAAGAGATTATTATTATTTTATACAGTTATCAATCATCATCTCCATCGTCTCCATGGGCTTCTTCTTGTTGTTGCTGATGCTCAGAAGCTCGTTTTTCTCTCTGTTTCTCCTGGATCTTCTTCATTTCCTCAGCGTATTTGCAGAAAGTATGCCCGAATTTGGCCCACACTTTGTATGGGACGGTGATAGAGTTGCGATAGGTGGGCTTCACCTCGCTCACCCGCATGAACACCCCATACTTATTGGAGCCCACATCGAAGAAGAAGCGCTTGTTGTCCACAGTTAAGGAAGTGCCCTCAGGTAATTCAGCGGGCTCCTCCTCCACCCCGTAATCGTCGATAAGCTTTGCCAGAGCATCGCGGAACTCGATCAGTCCTTGCGCTGGAAGAGCGATGGTTTGACCCTGTGTAGAGCCCAAGCCCGGGCCGCGGTTGACCGTCTGACGGATTCTCAGGAATCGGCCTCTCTGGTTCTCCTTCAGATCCATGTAGTACTTTCGGTTCTCCCGCACTAGGAACTCGCTCTTTAGCGCTCGCCGGGGCTCGTCCTGCGCCATGTCCGGGTTACTAGGTCCCAACTGGGCGTAATGTTCGATAAAATCCCCCAAGTAGTCGCGGAACTCCACGGCCACAGACATGGACAGGGTCAGCCGGCTCTTATTGCCTCCAGCCCCGACCTCGGCTATCTTTAGGAAGCGGCCCTTGGCGTTCTGCTTAACGTCCAAATAGAAGCGTTTGTTCTGGATGTCTACGCGCTTGGAGGCCAGCTCCTGGGTTTCGTGCTGCAGGGCCGAGCCCCCGACACCTGAGGCCGGGTGTAGCGAGCTGCCACCGGAACTCATCGCCGCTCCTCCTTGCTCGCTTCCACTGTCTCTGTCCGCCATGATGCCGCCTGCCTTCTTCCCCTCTCCCTGCAACTCCCACAGACAGATCACTGATCTCGCGAGATGTGGCCGCGGACAGAAGATGGCAGGGGACCGGCGAGCAGACGGGAAAGGGACTGTAGCGGAAAACTTCCCAGTGCAACTTTCACCCCCCCCCCCCCGTGTGCCTCGGCGGAGCCCCGGCGGGACAAACGGTTTGGTGAAAGGGAGCCCGCTCTAAGCCTCGCCGACGCCCCGCTTTTCATCATGGAGTGTTCACTCAAGTTTATAATCTATTCAGTTTATACAAAAAAAATCAGAGCTGTGCTAAAATAGAAAAGTTTCCGGTACTCAGCTTAGTAAATGGAGCATTTTCTTCTCACCTGTTCTCTTTAATCACGATAATACAGTCAGAGGGGTTGAAACTTCTTCCAACAATGGTTTTTGTTCATGCTGGGGAAGTTTGTCGGATACTTACAGTAGAAATATCCGCAGGGTACACAGGCCACTCTTTCCCTCCCCATCACATCCCAAAAGTATGGCAGCACCAGGGTTTCCACTTCCAATCCCAGTCAGGACAAAGTCTGCATCGAGCTTGCAGATGCTCCCTGTGCTTGTCCTGCTTTCCTCCCATACTCCAAAGATGAGGCTACTTTCACACTGAGGAGTTTTGAAGTGTTTTTGCAGTAAACAAAAAAAAAAAAAAACAAAGCACCTGAAAAGCTCAAGAAAAATGCTTCCCTATATATGTGAATGTACAGTTAGGTCTATATGTATGTGGACACAGGCACAATTTAACTTTTTTTTCAGGTATTTACCAAAGCATATTCAAGCTATAGTTATATAATGGATATGGGCTGAAAGTGCACACTCAGGTTTAATTTGAGGGTATGTACATCCAAATTGGAGGAAGGGTTTATGAATTACAGCTCTTAAGAATAGCCATCCCCCTTTTTCAAGGGACCAAAAGTAATTGGACAATTGAATCAAAAGCTGTTTCATGGCCAGGTGTGGGCTACTCCATTATTTCTTCATCAATTAAGCAGGTAAAAGGTCTGGAGTTGATTCTAATGTGGTATTTGAAATCTATTGCTGTGAACCTATTTCATGCGTTCAAAGGAGCTGTCCATGCAAGTGAAACAGGCCATTGTAAGGCTTCAAAAACTAAACAAATCCATCAGAGAGATAGCAGAAACATTAGGAGTGGCCAGATCAACAGTTTGGTACATTCTGAGGAAAGAAGAATGCACTGGTGAGCTCAGCAACATAAAAAGGCATGGACGTCCATGGAAGACAACAGTGGTGGATGATCGCAGGATCCTCTCTATGGTAAAGAAAAACCAATTCACAACATCCAGACAAGTGAATGACACTCTCCAGAAGGTGGAAATAACATTGTCAAAGTCTACAATCAGGAGAGCAAATACCGAGTGTTCACCACAAGGTGCAAACCATTCATAAGCCTGAAGAATAGAAAAGCCAGATTAGACTTTGCCCAAAAACATCTAAAAAGCCATATCAGTTCTGGAAAAACATTCTTTGGACGCATGAAACTAAGAGTAAACTGTACCAGAATGATGGGAAGAAAAATGTGTGGAGAAGGCTTGGAACAGCTCATGATCCAAAGCACGCAATGTCATCTGTAAAACATGGTGGAGGCAGTGTGATGGCAAGGCCATGCATGGCTTCCAGTGGCACTGGGTCATTGGTGTTTATTGATGATGTGACAGAAGCAGCCGGATGAATTCTGCAGTGTTTAGAGATATACTGTCAGCCCAGATTCAGCCAGATGCAGCAAAGTTGATTGGACGACGCTTCACAGTACAGATGGACAATGATCCAAAACACACTGCAAAAGCAACCCAGGAGCCTTTGAAGGAAAATAAGTGGAGTATTCTGCAATGACTGAGTCAATCAACCCAACCCAATTGAGCATGCATTTCACTTGCTGAAGGCAAAATTAAAGGCAGAAAGACCCACAAACAAAGAACAACTGAAGACAGCTGCAGTTAGATCCTGGCAAAGCATCAGAAAGGAGGAAACCCAGTCTTTGGTAATGTCCATGGATTCCAGACTTCAGGCAAGTCATTGCCAGTAAAGGATTCTCAGCAAAATATTAAAAATGAACATTTTATTTATGATTATATTCATTTGTCCAATTACATTTGAGTCCCTGAAAATGGAGGGATTGTGTATAAAAAATGGTTGCAGTTCCTAAAATTTGTACTTGATATTTATGTTCAACCCCTTGAATTAAAGCTGAAAGTTTGCACTTCAAATTAATTTGGATTGTTTCGTTTTAATTTATTCTGGTGGCATACAGAGCCAAAAGTTTGAAAATTGTGCCTGTGTCCAAATATATATGGACCTAACTGTATATCTATGTATGTTTTCACCCAGAGGTATTGCGCTTGTGGAGCAAAAATATATAGGCATTTTCGGGTCTTTTTTTTTTTTTTTTTAACTCAAAGATGCAAGCAGGAGTTTTTACACAGCACCATAAGTGCATGCCTCAATGTGAAAATATACATAGATATACATTCACATGCATAGGGAAACGTTTTTCTTGAGCTTTTCAGCCGTGTTTATAAACACAAAAAAGCTTCAAAAACTCCTCAATGTGAAAGTAGTTTAAATGGAAAACTCCTCGGAGAAGAGTTTTTGGTGCAGTTTTTAAGTCACATGTCCTTTTAAAAAAGTGATCAGAAATGCCTATGCATTTTTTTTGCGGTGGATCAGTGTGAAAGCCTTAGTCCTCGTGCACACTGGACATTTTTACAGCTGCTGCTTTTGGCATTGTTTTTTCTACAGCTAGTAAACTCCCAAGCATGTTATCCTATGTGTAAATGCACGCATAGGCTTTAATCAGCGTTTTATGGCAGAAACATTTTCTGGCTAGAAAAAAACCTGGAACTAGTGTGTTTCAAGAGGAGTCTTTTAGCTGTAAAAATGCTCTAACGCTGATAATAGCTGAAAAAGCTAAAAAACATGGCTATCCAGCGTTTGAGCCTGAAGATTTTGTGTGAGTATAATCTTGCCAAAAAAATGCAAATGCTGAAATACTCTTAAAAAGAGCTAATGCACAAAAACGCTAAAAAAAAGTCATATTTTTAATGCAACATTCAACAGCTAATGCTACTGATGTTTTTATAACGTCCAGTGTGCATGAGGTCTTTGGCTTCATTCACACTAGGGCATTTTTCAGCTTGATGCCTGATGCTCAGAAACGCTCAACAAGCAAAATCCAATTCGTTTCTTTGGCCCTTGTTCACATATGAGCGCTTTGCCGCCTATAGCAAAACACCTGTCGCTCAAAAAAGTACTTGATCTACTTTTTCAGGCAGATCTGGGCGTTTTGTACCTATAGACTTGAATGGAAAATGCCTGAAGAGTGGGAATCAGCTTTTTTTTCAAGCATTTTTTCAAATGTTTTTTTCAGGCATTTTCAGCTTAAACAGCAGCTATTTCTATTGGCCACAGTAAAACACCTAAATGGAAAACGCCTATAATATTTTCAAATCTGCTCAAAAAAATGCCCAGACACCTGAAAAATGCTTGGATAAAAACACCTGAAAAACTTTCAGCTCAGTTTGAATGGAGCCTTAAAGTACAATGTTTAGACAAAATTGAATCACTACATTATTTGCAGGTGTGAATGTGACGTTTCGTGTTGAAAGCAGAAGTGATGTAATATTTTTTGCTTACGCTGTGTGATGAGACACCTAACAGGTGGGAGGCCTCACTTTTGTCATTCACTGCATGTGCTGCTAGTAATACGGAGTCATGGCAGAGCTTACTGAGCTTCAAAGAGGGCAAATTGTTGGTGCACGCTTAGTTGATGCCTCTGTGACTGAAGTTACTAATTTATTTAGTGACGCGAGGTACAGTATCAAAGGTTATGACAACATACACAGTTTCTGGAAAAAGTCTGAGAAGTGCGATTGATGTGGTCAACTGACCGAAAGAGATAAAAGGATATTGCACAGGATTGTGACCCAGAATAGAAAGCTGTTGCAAAAATGACTGCAGAGCTCAATCTCAGTCTTCAAAAAAAAAAAACACAGGTGATGAAATACTACTGAAAGAAAGCTCTATTTGTGGGGAAAAAAGACATAAATTTCATTTGGGTGCAGCGTTGCATGACTGCGCAATTGTAAGTTACAGTAACGCAGCGCCGTATTGCAAAAAATGGCCTGGTCAGGAAGGGGGGTAAATCCTCTGGAAGGCAAGTGGTTAAAAAAGACGTGGCCATGCGGGTTCCTCCCACACGGCCTTGTCCATTCACAGAGTTTTGTGAGTGGGAGAACTACAAGTACCGACAGCTTACAATGACAGTTTGCAAGAGTCCTGCATTACACCCACAAATTTGCTGATTGCAGATGTAATGCTTTACAGGCTGCCAATAAAATAAAACAAAAACCACTTTTTTTTACCTGCAAAAAAGATCAAATGATTTATTTTTAAAAGGTGAACTTATCATTTGATGAAAAGCAGCATTCAGTCAAGTTTCTTTATTTTAGAAATGAAAGAAAGGAATCTGGTCGATGCTGTGTTTTCTTCAATTTCTATTGCCTTTGTCTAGACCAGTGGTCGGCAAGCCGCGGCTCGCGAGCCACATGCGGCTCTTTACCCACTCTAATGCGGCTCTTCTGTGTGCCGGGCGCCTGCTCCCCTCCCTCCTCTCGGTCGGCCGCTCCCCTGCCTCCTCTCGGTTGGCAGCCCCAAAAGTCCCGCGCGGACCTTTTAATCCGGCCCGCGGATGTGGCTGTCAGGAT